TAAGTGCATTAGTTGAGGTATTTACTTTGAGTGCATCCCCTTCATTTCCATTTCAAATTATTCTAAATATGACAAGTAATACAAACAACACTAGTTAGATAGTTGTGGTGTACAGTATAAGCAATAATATAGATGGGGCACTCTTTTAGTTTGAAACATGTAGAATACGCCAAGGGAAACAGGGTTGAGCTTACTTATGTGGCACAGAAAATATACAGTAGTGTATATTTTTAATAAGCCAGCCTTTACTATTATTACCAGAGCAGAATAGTATGAGGATTTCAGGTTATAGTAGGCATGACATTAGAAATGCACAATATAACAATGCAGCATCGGCAGAGGATATGCAACAATGTCTATACATATTTTATTAGTCTGTGCTCTTGTATAGAAACCTGAACCTTGATGCCGGCAGCTAGAACAAAGGCATCTGTCAATGTCTGATATATTAAGACACATTAGAAATGTCCCCCTTGTGATATACTCAAGAATCATACTCAACAAAAAGTATGGCAAAGGACAAACTCAATATGGACCTGTTTCGAAGCACGTCTTTTTTTCTGGCTTTGCGAGGGGCTTCCATGCAATTGTCATGGTAACGTGCACGCATGAAATAGGACCAGCATGGAGTTTTTTTTTAAAATAAAAAAAGGCAGCTATAAACACGCTGTAATCAAATGTCCTTTATGACCAAACTACGTAAGGTTGACAACATACACCAACATCTAGGATTAGTGTATTTTTGCTGCTACACAGACCAAAAGGCCAAACTAACTCCTCACTGCCAGTCAAATAAATGAAAGATGGATGAGTAAATACTCCTTCATCGTCGGGCTCAAACTTGCAGGGGGAGCTCAATGTGTCGTTAAGTTTAATTCAGCTTTTCACTTCCACATGGATCAACACTTAACACCCAATTGCAATGTTTGATTTCATTGAAAACAAAAGATGTAATCTTTAACAATTATATGCTGAACAAAAATAGCACAAGATTGCGTCTCAGTAGTAGCAATCTGATGGCAATTACTTTCTAAATGCACCAACACAGTCGGCAATTGAAAAGATGTGAGTGAAGGTGAAAGGCTGTATAATACGTGATCAAACTAAATTAGCCCTTATGCAATTACAGTAGATGAGGAAACAACGGCTTTCATTTGTTTTTGTTTTTTTGCCTCATTACGGCAAATTAAGAAACAGTCATCGAAAAAAAACCTCTGCATTGCGTCTGAGGTTATCGAGATAGAGTATCACAAAAGGAATATGTTTATGTTCAAACTTATGTGAATTACCCATACGTGAACTTGTGCATGCCTTGTTTCTGGTGCTCTGTCTGTACGGCTATGTAATTGTCTATACGGAAAATGCTATTGATACACTCTATTTCTTTATGTATGTTCATTTCAGTCTCTGACAAGCTGTTACTTTTTTGGTTTGTCCCGTTTGTTTCTGTCTTTGTAATCATCAATTTAAATAAAAATGTATGGCTTGGGGATATTTGTATATTTAAGCTTATCACAAGTACTCTGTGAGGCATGCTGTTCATCCTATACCAAGATATATTGTTCTTACTCTTATACACACTCAGCCTAGTTGGCTTTATCATCACTGTTAAATATTTGCTGTTCTTCTCAAGAGAGACAAATTGTATTTTGAAAAGAAAAATGTGCACAGAACAGATAATCTGTCAACACATTTCCACACACTTTAAATTGGCTGCCGTTTGTTTTCATATAGCTGAATTAATCCAAGTCTATTTAAAGAGCCTGTGACAGCATCCCAACAACTGTTGTGCAGTGAAATATTGGGCTACTAGTCATCTCGAACCGTCAGTTTAAAAAAGAAGATGCGATACCGTTCCGATAAATATCAATAATTTCGAACATCGTGGGGAAATTCCTTCGACTCATTTTGAAGTTTTGGGGGAAGCCGGAATTGACGTCAATGCGGGAACGCTTCACTGTGCGGCGAGAGAGCCAAACAAGGACAAAGTGTGTTGTCATGCGTAGAAATTGTGAATTACTGAGTTTAGGCACGTTAATAACGTTTTAATGAAGTTGACTACAGTATATTCATATTTGTCAGTGCTTTCATGTCAATTCGGCGAACATAAACATAAATGATCGTGGTGAATATGATGATTAAATTAGGATTAAAAATCAGTAGTGAGAACTGAATAATCATGAGGATGATGATTTAAAAATCGTTTGTTTGAGCATTTCCTGATGAGAAAACAAACCGATGCTTTTTGTAGTACACCAACATGGATTAAACGTGTGTTTTTTTTACCACAANACAGGCCGTGGTATATGCTCATTATATCACAGCTAAGGGGCGTGGTTCGGCCCGACGCGAAGCGGAGGGTCGACAACCAAAACAAGCAATCTGATCAGATTGCTTGATTTGACTTGTCCGTTTAATAAATATATTTATAAAACGGACAAGTCAAAACAAAACAATCTGATTGGTTCTTCGCGTCGGGCCGAACCACGCCCCTTAGCTGTGATATAATGAGCATATACCACGGCCTGTCGTGAGCTATTGCTTAAATATATATGTGTATATGTATATATGTCATTTTGGAATTTCAAAATGTGCTGATGCAAAAAATATGTCTCAGTATATTTAAACTCTTAGAATGTAGTGGTTATTCAGGTCAGATATTAGAGGTTTAGATCTGAACCTGAACTAATGGACCTGTTTAACCCCCCGATAAAATGCCGGAATGTTTTTTTTCTGTACTGTATATTTTTATTTTACTACAGCCTCCTAAGATTCAACTGACTTTCTATATTTAGCATCAATTTACACTTTTATTTACTCCTGCATATGTGACTGTTATTTTTCCTTAATTGCTTTAGGCAACAGTGATATACCGAATAATTTATTTATTGATTGCTGTGTGCTCAAGGGAGTGTTGTTTTTATTGTTTATATTAATAATATGTGATTGTAATATATTGTTCTTTATGCTCATGCTCAGGTACAGACCAGATTGTCTTTCATTAAGATAAATGAAGCCTGGAGTTAGTCTCACGGATTCTTCTCTCTGCAGCAGTGATCAATGCACCGTTAGCACTATGGCCATGTTTTGAAGCCACTTGATGGCCAGGCACAGATAGCTAGTATCAACAAATGTGAAGTCTATGCCAACCTCATGGTGAGCAAAGAGCAAATAGCATATCATGTGAATGCAGCTTTAGCATGACTTTGAACACTGGCTGGCCTGGATCTACATATAGCCAGAAACAAACAATAAATATTGGAATACATTTAACTCCCAATTTCTTTCTTTGTGTTTGCTGTGGGGAGAGACACGGTTGAAGCCTAGACGCTAGATATAAACTCTGTAAATATTTACATTCATACAATGATCCACTCCACATCAGCATGCTTACTAGATACTAAATCTGATGCTCTGTTAAGAACACATCATGTTTTTTTTAATGGAAGTAACCCGATCTACCCATTGAGGGTTTGGCTTTTATTTATAAGTTGGATTTTAGACTTCTTCTATGAAAATGCATATGTCTTTTAGTTAGAAAACGATTTATTTAATTTTTCTTCCATTATAGTTGCTGTCCACCATTCCATTGAGTTCTCACTACAACTACTGTAACTGCTGTCACTTACTGTTCAATTCCTCCTCTGCTCCAAACAACGTAGGCTAGTACTTCAATGAAAAGTTTTTCATTCTCATTTGTTCAAAATAAATTTGAAGCAATGCAAAGATAAGACAAGTAAAACATCATAATTTGTTTTCATTAAAAAGACAGGGGTGTGCTACAAAATCCAGTTAAAGTATAATTTTGCTTCAAAATAAGATAAAAAAAATCATCGCTAATATAATTATTTCACACATAAATGCGTAGGCTATCATATGGTGATTCATTTCTCAGGTTTTTCACCGCCTTATTCAAATGCAAATTGTGCATGATTGAGCAGGCCTTGCACTCTATTATTCAAATGTTTCTTGGTAAAATTGGAAAATGGCTCATGAATAATGCAAAGTGGAGGTCAATGAGTGAAATCAACTGAAGAGTGAAAGTGTCTCAGTTCTGAACCCTGTCTGTGCACCCGTCAGAGTCGTTTGCGATGTGAACGCTAAATGAACCTTGGTAATGGAGCCGCACTAAGTGACTGTGTGTGATTCACAACAATCACCAAGGGGAGATTTCCACTGCAGGGCCTCGCATGGCTTAGTACGGTATAGTTAGGCCTTGGTAGGCCAGGCTCACTTTATGCTGTGTTTCCATTACAGTTTAGTAGCTGGGGCAGTAACTATAGTAACGCAGTGTAGGCAGAGCCGTGACGTCATCTTCAATGCGAACCACAAAACCAACATCAGCCGTTAGCTGTTAGCACTCAGAGCTCACAGCTCCTCATATCTGTTCAGAAACTAAACAAAAGTTAAACAAGTACAAACCACAGACTGTCTGTGTCATGGTGAATACAGTCGCTGGTTAATTTATGTCTGTAGGCCGTTGCTGTGAGTGTGGATGGTCGGAGCATATACAACGTTAGCTTAGCCAATCTCCATTCAGACAACAAGCATTTTAAAAGGTTTTTCGCCTGCCGTCTGTCTGCAGACTTGTCAAAGCATTCATTCATGGTTTTTACTAACCGGTATCAGTATGTTGTTACTTCGGCATCATTTTGAAACGTGTATTACAATTACGGTAAAATATGTTCATTTTGTTGTAGTTGTAGCCCCCTTGCCAGCGATTCTCTCACTAGTTTAGTATATTCCTCCCAGTTGTTGGCCCGGAAAGAACCTGGATTTTGGAGAGCAAGAAAAACTGTGAAACAGTACCCGTTAGCCGGAACTACCCCTAGCGCAACAAGAAAACGGGCCGGGCTTGGCACGGAACGCTTAAAACGTGCTACGCGCTGCAGTGGAAATGCACCATTAGGCTGCGGCACGGCTGGAAACTGCACTGAAACACAGTGAAGCAGAGACAGGAAACATGGGATGTGTTCACCTCATCCATTCTTCCCATACAGTCTCCTCCTCCCTCTCACCCGCTCCAATGTGTCTCCAGGCCCCGGCCCCCCTGCAGACCAGACGGTGGTCATCGAGGAGTTCCGCTACCTGTCCCAGAACATCTTCGTGTCTGTGTCCGTCTTCGCTGGGTTGGGAATCCTGCTGGGAATCGTCTGCCTCACATTCAACATCTACAACAGCAATGTCAGGTAATAAAGCGCAGACTTAATCGGTATGGATTAGAGGCTGAGCTATAAGCAGAGGTGGGAAGTAGTAGAGTACAAATACTTTGTTACTGTACTTAAGTACATTTCTTTGGTATCAGTATTTTACTCCACTACTTATTTTTCTGACGACTTTTTACTTTTACTTCTTACATGTTGAACACAAACACCTGTACTTTCTACTTCTTACATTTAGTTTGAATGTGTGTTTGGCGGCGTGATCATTATTATTTAGAGTCATTGCGTGCCTATTTGTTTGAACACGATCCGTGTATCCATCATTTCCTGGTCTTCTCTAAAGAGGGACCAATGAAAATGTTGTCATGTTGCCGTTGTTCAGCATGGAAACATTCATTAACTAACAATGACATTATTGTTCTATTGATATAAAGGGAGGTCAGGTACTCTTTAAAACAGCTGCTAGTTATGGGTACATTTTACTGAAGTACATTTCGAAGCCCATAGTTATTTACTTTTACTTGAGTAAATAAGTTTAGTCAGTACTTCTACTTTTACCAGAGTATTTTTAAACACGAGTATCTGTACTTCTACTTGAGTAAAGGATGTGTGTACTTTTGCCATCTCTGGCTATCAGACCAGTTTGATCGGACTGGTCTATGTGAGTAAGAAAGGGTGCATTAAGGCAAGAGACAAACATTTGAATGGCCAAACATTCCCCTGGCCCTTTTTGAAAATGTAATTTGGAAATGTACATATCTAGAAATGCAGAACTCAGTGTGTGTGTTTCTGCAGGTACATCCAGAACTCCCAGCCCTACCTGAACAACATGACTGCAGTGGGCTGTATGATGGCTCTGGCCGCGGTCTTCCCTCTGGGCCTGGACGGCCTGCACGTCAGTGCGAGACACTTCCCCGCCGTCTGCCAGGTACTGGCTAAAGAACATTATTATTGGATTTCAAACTTACTGAATATTGGTTTAATGTGGAGAGAGGCATGCAATGTAAGGTGAAGACTCAGACTCTGGGTGAAGACATGGTGAAGCTCTCGCTGCAATCCTCGTTGGCCCAAACGTTCCGGAAGCCAAATACTGTATATCCTGGTGAAGCCATTTGTTTCCATAAACACTGGAGATGCTCTTTCTGAATATGAAGTAACAGTATTAAAATAAGAAGTTTTGTACTGGACTTAATTCAGGGTTAGGGTTAGGGGTAGAGTTAGGGTTAAGTTTGTACGGAACCTGACGTAAAGTTACTCAGTGTTAACTTGTGGGTTTCCATGGGACACCTCGGTAACATCCTTTGTCGTTGACCTCGTAATACTAACTCTGGTCACTTGAGGTCACTGCCTAAGAATACATGTATTAATGGATGGTAAGAAGCCATTTGCACGTAAGACGTTTTTGGTCGTTTTTTATGGGCGGCGTTACATACTGTCGCGTTGAACATCATAATTGGTGTGACTCTAGGGTTATTTGCTCTTAGCATTGGCGTGTCAAGTGACACTGAGAGTCGAGGTAATGATCGCTAAGACCAATTAACCCTGACGTTTGTCAGAAATACTTGCTAATTTAAAAGTTATTATCTCTCAACCTATGAAACCTGTCCATCTCATCAAAGTTGTCACTTTTTTGTGGCCTTTTTCTGATTTGACATGTTGTGCAGGTGGCTAAAAAGCTAACTATGACAATTATGCGAATGATTAAGCTAGGAAGAGGGCATCCCTGTTCCTGATCCTGCATATAAAGCTGCGATTCGTCAGTTGTTTTCCCACTTAGGTGAAACATCCATCAAGAGGCACAATACCAGATCTATTTTAGTCATCCCTAAACTAAAACTAGATGTGGAGAGTGACTCACATGTCTGGTACCAGGATAAACTTGGTGTCGGCATTCATGCAGTTCACCTGTACTGTATCCCTATTCAGGAAACCATTTGTATTCAATAAATTACAGATCAGACCATAAAATGACTGCAAGGTAGGGATACTTTTGGTAAACTAGTTCAGTCCCCCTAGCTCTTCTTACCTGTGAATGTTTCATTCCCCCAGAAATAAGATCAGAGCCAAACCAAATCCTTTACGGAAAGGAAGAACACATTTAGTTTTAACCCCAGAAATATTTTGTTTTTTCAAGTCTTCAAGCTCACACTGTACCTCATGTTGTCAGCTGATAGCTGAGTGCTACAGTAGAGGTAGACGTACAGTGCTGTGTTACGGAGCACAGCTTTGGAGCTTATGTTCATTTCAAGGTCATTTCTGAAGGACTATTAAACTCAAACAGGGCTTAATGTGGCTGCATGACTGAAGAGCTGATTTGATTAATCTGTTTGATTTATTAATCAGTTTAATTATACCGTCTTTCATATATTTTCCTCTTTGCTAGTTCCGCCTCTGGCTGCTGGGTCTGGGTTTCAGCCTGGCGTATGGCAGCATGTTCACCAAGATCTGGTGGGTCCACACCGTCTTCACCAAGAAGGAGGAGAAGAAGGACAAGAGGAAGGTAAATGTGGAAGCTATTGATTAAAGTTCCAGGAGGTAACTAAATCCACCCGGAGATCTTTATGCCAAGTGAAGGAGGGGGGGGGGCGGGTTAGGTTGGGTTTACTTAATCATCATCCCAGTCAGGGGCGAGCTCCACAGCCGGAGATGATTCCACGATCACTCTCTGCCTCCACTTGGCTCGCTGCTGGCCCTCCACGTTGTGAAGCATCTATTGGTCACGCTGCCCCCTGGGGGGGTGTATATCTGCATCGTGCAGCCTGGGCTAGTTTTTTTCAACCATTCGAGCTACGGTACATTTTTCATATTAAAGAAATCCCACAGCAAGTTACAAAATGACAAATTGTAGCCTAATACACTTGTTTTCAAGACAGGTGTTTGGTTGGAGATGACGTGTAAGCTCAATTGGGACCCTGGCACTATAGGATAGCTTTTCCCAAAACACCAAGCATAACGGTGTTGGTGCAGTCGAAATACCAGTGAAACTAAATCCAAGCTTAAGATTCACTTTGCTGTATTGCCTCGAGCTCACCTTACCTTCTCTTGACCACCATTCATATAGGCTATACATCTGGGTTAGAATTTTGTTCCTGGACCGAGTTCAGAGTATACACTTTCATCGGTGGCTGTGCTCCTCTCCCACGCATCACTGAATCCTACCGTCTTAATTTAACAAGGTCATATTGTGCTACAGTAGGCTACTTGCTGCCACCCACTGGCATTTAGAGCATTTCATCACTTAGCAAGCCGCTATATTGCAGTCAGGGACGCTCAACAATGGCAAATTATTTGCAGTAACTAAAATACAAAAAAAGATATTTGGTATTAAAATAACTTAACCCTTATAACCCTCAAACATTATATGGGACCATGGGAGAGAGGGTATTAGGAATCATGTTTTCTGACATTGTAAACTCAGTAATTCCCTTTGACGTTAGCAGTCTGTAGAAGTCTTTAATCTAATGTGTCTGAATCTGTAGGAACCTTCTCAGTGGTCTTGCAGCGCTGACGGTGTATTAGTTTTATTTTATTTTACCTTTATTTAACCAGGATAGTTCTCATTGAGATTAAAAATCTCTTTTTCAAGAGAGTCCTGGCCCAAGAATGGGGGGGGGGACAGTACAGGACTCATCCCAGCAGAGAGATACAGAATGCCGATGATTATTATTATCTTTAAGGTGAAGGAGCCTATCAGGCGGATTCTTTATATATAGAGCCCTGATGAGAAGACTTCTAGAAAAACAGGAAGAACTGACGCCGAAACTGAATACGTGACGCGGACCATAAATATATCAACAATTAAACAACATCTTCAATTTCTCTTCACACAATACGTCTCCTTGCAGTATCAACACTAATTCAGCTGATTTTTATATTTGATCCAATTGGTAGATAGGTTATATTTACAACATAATGGTGCACAGCTGATAGAAAAGGACTTGTAAATATTACAGATTTTCTTTGAATATAAGAATGTAAATACTGAGTTGAGAGAATAGTCAGGGGATTTGGGTGATGGGAGACACATCTATGGAATCACAATTTCAATAGCTGATATTATTATGTTTTATTAACTAGTTAATAAAACATAATAATATCAGCAATTGAAATTGTGATTAGACCAGTGGTCTAGTTACTAGACCACTGTTCTTTTAGCCCGCACCGCCTAGTGGTTAAAGCACGTTATTGAATTTTGTTGTTGAATGTTATATTTGATGAAAACATTTAAATATTAAGAATACCCTACATACAAAGTTGGGGGAAAGTAGAAGGTCAATGATAGAAATATAGAATAGAAAATATCAAGAAGATATTGTAGTGATCCCTACAATAAAACAGTTTAGTGCAGGACGTCCAAAGATATTAACAGGAGGATGTGCAAAACAGACAAACTAATAAGGCTTTATTTAAACATTAAAGAATACTTTAAGTTAAGGTCTTCTTTTTAATAAGAAAAAAACGTTGGGGGTATCCACAGATAAATATGAAGTCTGACAAAGTATTTAACGTCCAATATACAGGACTGTCTCAGAAAATTAGAATATTGTGATAAAGTTCTTTATTTTCTGTAATGCAATTAAAAAAACAAAAATGTCATACATTCTGGATTCATTACAAATCAACTGAAATATTGCAAGCCTTTTATTATTTTAATATTGCTGATTATGGCATACAGCTTAAGAAAACTCAAATATCCTATCTCTAAATATTAGAATATCATGAAAAAGTATACTAGTAGGGTGTTCAACGAATCACTTGAATCGTCTAATTAACTCGAAACACCTGCAAGGGTTTCCTGAGCCTTGAAAAACACTCAGCTTGGTTCAGTAAACTAAATCAGACAAGTATGGGGGACTGCTGATCTGACTGCTGTCCCAGAGACCGTCATTGACACCCTCCATCAGGAGGGTAAGCACACACAAGAAATTTCTCAAAGAGCAAGCTGTTCAACAGAGTGCAGTTTTCAGAGCACATCCACAAAAAGTCTGTTGGAGGGGGAAATGGTGGCAGGAAACGCTGCAACCAAGAAGAGATGACCGCAGCCCTTAACAGCATTGTGAACAAGAGTCGCTTCCAGAATTTGGGGGAGCTTCAAAGACAGTGACTGAAGACTGGAAGTCCCAGGTATCCACACACACGCTCGCTTACGAGACGTGTCCGGAGAATGGGCTACAATAGCCGTCATCACCATGGTCCAAGCCACTCTCTGAATCAAGCAACGGAAGAGGCGTCTGCTTGGGCTAAGGAAAAAGAAGCATCTGGACATGGCACAGTGGTACAAAGTCCTCTTGTTCAACGAAAGCAAGTTTTGTATTTCATTCGAAGTCAAGCGCCAGAAGTCCTGGAGGAAAGGCTGGAGAGGAGCAAATCCAAGTTGCTTTGAAATCCAGTGTGAAGTTCCACAGTCCAGCGATGGTTGGGGAGCCATGTCAGCTGCTGGTGTTGGTCCCACTGTGTTTTTCATCAAGCCAGAAGTAAATGCAGCTCGTGTACCAGAGATTTTAGAGCACTACATGCTTCGTACTGCTGAAAAGTCTATGGAGATGAGGAATTATTTTCCAGCATGATCTGGCATCCCCTGCCACAGTGCCAAACCACCAGTAACTGGGTGTATCGACCAGGCATTAGTGCCCTCGATTGGCCTGCCAAATATTCCCCCGACTGTTGAACCCATAGAGAATATCGTGGGGTTTGTTGAGTGAAAAGTAAGCTGAAAGACACCAGACCCAACAATGCTAATGAGCTAAAGGCGCAATCCTGGGCATCCATAAACCTCGAGCAATGCCAAGCTTGATTGCCCTCATGGCCAACGCCGCATTGATGCAGTAATCCTGCAAGAAGGATTACCAACCAGTACTGGTGCATTATGGACATTTCAAATGGTTTGATTGGTGTTTTTGCTGTTATAAAATCTTTTTTTTTTTTTACTTGGTCTGAGAATATTCTAATTTTTGAGATACAGGATTTTTGAGTTTTCTTTAAGTTGTATGCATAATCAGCAATATTAAAAATAATAAAAGGCTTGCATATTTCAGCTTGATTTGCTAATGAATCCAGAATGTATGACATTTTTGTTTTTTTATTGGCATGTACAAAATAAAGAACTTTATCACAATATTCATTTTATGAGACAGTCTGGTATTGCATAGTTTATTTTGCACTTACACATAACCTTCCTGAATTTGACTCAGGTGGTAACTGAATTTCTGATTAAGGGTGTTTATATTTCACATATTAATCAGAATCTGAAAGTACTAAAATAATGTAGTTGACCCAAGTAACCTCCTGAATGTAAGAGACAAGTATACATGCTGCTGTAAAAAAATGACCCGGTCGAGTCCAGTTTTGGATAAGCCTGCCTTGGTTCCAATTCATTTCAAAGTGCTGTTGACGCTCGGCGTAACTTGGCGACTGCATCTCAACATCCAAATCACAGAGCTTGGGGACTATCCACGGGTTGTAACAGCAAAACGATGTTGTGTCCCAAACGTAGTTTGGGGATTATGGATGGATAACCCTCGAAAAACTATTTGTTTCTCCGAACTCGAAGTTAAAACACAAAAGCATGGTACACAATTTAAACCAACTCAAATTGTGTAATTAAAGAGATAAAACTGATGTTTTTAGTGGATGAGTAATGCAGATACCAGTATCACTGTGTACTCATTTGACAGATGGGTGGGGATAATTCATAGTTTTAATTGGTTTAAACTTCGAAGACCGGAAATATGTTTTCACCCGTGAGGGTTGCGCTACTTTACATGGAAGCTGCCACATACCGTTTCCTGGCGAGAGCATCAAATTATCTTTCGTAAATATTATCCAAACTATAGATCCTATCTACCATCCAGGGCGCACAGACACTTTAGGGGGGCGGGTGCTCAAGTGAGAAAAAGGGGCATATTTCGATATCCGTTTATAAAAAATTGTTTTAAAAACAAAAGTTAAATACATCTTGCCACATCTCTACTTACTGACCAATTTATTTTAATACCTCCACTCAAAATTGGTTTAAACTCAACGATTCTACAAAATAATAGTAACACAGAGAAACAAATGTCTTCTTATAGTATTCACCTAGACAAGAGCAGACACAACTAGTACAATTAAAGTTATGAAATGAGCCGCCAAAAAAAATTATGAAGTTACTGTTATAAGGACATTACACGAGCAAAAGATCGTTTTTGCATGTACTTGTTATTTTGGTCTATTTTGCTTTCCATGTTTTCTTTCACTCTAATGGAAAATAAAACTTCCAACGAAGCATATAATATGGTGTTCGTTTTATTACCATGTCCTGAATTCATACTATACGATTATAAACGTAATCTTGCATATTAAAAACATAACACTTTCAGGGGAAAATACTGACATTGACCTAAGTTAACCTTCTGGGGAAGTTGTGAGGTGATATGTTTTTTTGTTTATCCTTATCATCTGTATGGCTTGAAACTGGCATGCAAATTTGCGCATTTTCTAATAAGAACGCCCTATTTTCATATCATGTGGCAGTTGGATCGACGT